TTTAGATCCGTTGATCAGTGAGCGGTATAGACGTTAGATCCGTTGATCAGTGAGCGCTTATAGACGTTAGATCCGTTGATCAGTGAGCGTTTATAGACGTTAGACCCGTTGATCAGTGAGCGTTTATAGACACATTGATCAGTACGGTGTTTATAGACGTTAGACCCGTTGATCCTGTAATGCCACCCTGCTGTGACCCTAATTGTGTAGACTTGCCCCCAGGACACTGATCAGTTAGAATTTGGGGAGGGTAAGCTGATCCTAGACCTGCACCCCTGGTACAGTCCTGTGTTTGTACTGAGAATGTGACAGACAGGGGAACTGACGGAGCTTTCTCAGCTCATTTGTTTACCAGCTCTCTGTTGATGTTTCTGACTGTGTTAGTTCCTTATTGAATGGTATGTTTGTAGATGTGTCTGATATACAAGACACATATTCCAGGACTGACAGATTAATGTATGCATAGACTCATTGTACTCTATTGCCTGCTTTGTTCTGGCTCATCCTGTCTGAGCAATCTGTTTAGTGATGTTACCACTGGTCAGTGATCTAGTTAGTGACCTAAATAATAATAAATAATATAATATGCCATTTAGCAGACGCTTTTATCCAAAGCGACTTACAGTCATGTGTGCATACATTTTTACGTATTTTACGTGACCTAGTACCCTGGTTGGTGCCTCTCTGGTTATTTAACTGTTTGTCCTGGCAGAGGCAGGTGCACTCAATAGTTTGCTGGCTAGTGACCTGGTTAGTGCACTGGTTAGTGCACTGCAACCCTGGTTAGTGCCCTACCACCTGTCCTCTCTCTGTGTGTGTTCCAGCAGTTCTACTCCGTCAGTAGAAGCCACACCTCGTCTCTCTCTGGTGTCCAGGGGAAGTGTTTGTCCTTGTTCTCTCCACTCCATTACTGAGTACTAAACATAAGAACTAAGCAACTAGGGATTTACATGGAATTACACACATACAGTGCTATGAAAAAGTATTTGCCCCCTTTCAAATTTTCTCTACTTTTGCATATTTGTGATACTGAATGTTATCAGATCTTCAACCAAAACCTAATATTAGATAAAGGGAACATAAGTGAACAAATAACACAACAATTACATATTTATTTCATTTATTTCATAAACAAAGTTATGCAACACCCAATTCCCCTGTGTGAAAAAGTAATTGCCCCCTTACACAATAACTGGTTGAGCCACCTTTAGCTGCAATGACTCCAACCAAATGCTTCCTGTAGTTGTTGATCAGTCTCTCACGTCGCTGTGGAGGAATTTTGGCCCACTCTTCCATGCAGAACTGCTTTAACTCAGTGACGTGTGGGTTTTCAAGCATGAACTGCTCATTTCAAGTCCTGCCACAACATATCAATTGGGATTAGGTCTGGACTTTGACTAGGCCATTCCAAATCGTCCAATTTGTTGCTTGTTAGCAATTTTCATGTAGACTTGATTGTGTGTTTTGGATCATTGTCTTGCTGCATGACCCAGCTGCGCTTCAGCTTCAGCTCACAGACGGATGGTCTGACATTCTCCTGTAGAATTCTCTGATACAGAGCAGAATTCATGGTTCCTTCTATTAAGGCAAGTCGTCCAGATCCTGAGGCAGCAAAGCATCCCCAAACCATCACACCACCACCACCATGCTTGACCTTTGGTATGATCCCATACACAAAAAATGTATGCACGCATGACTGTAAGTCGCTTTGGATAAAAGCGTCTGCTAAATGGCATATTATATTATGTTCTTACTGTGGAATGCAGAGTTTGGTTTTCGCCAGGCATTACTGGAACCATGTCGTCCAAAAAGTTATACTTGTGAATCATCTGTCCATAGAACGGTCTTCCAAGAGTCTTGATGATCTGATCATCCTGGTGCTTTTTGGCAAACTTGAGTCAACTTTTTGGACGAGATGGGTCCCATTATGCCTGGCGAAAACCAAACACTGCATTCCACAGTAAGAACATCATACCAAAGGTCAAGCATGGTGGTGGTGCGTGATGGTTTGGGGATGCTTTGCTGCCTCATGACCTGGACGACTTGCCTTAATAGAAGGAACCATGAATTCTGCTCTGTATCAGAGAATTCTACAGGAGAATGTCAGACCATTCGTCTGTGAGCTGAAGCTGAAGCGCAGCTGGGTCATGCAGCAAGACAATGATCCAAAACACACAATCAAGTCTACATGAACATTTCTAAAAAGCAACAAATTGGTTTTGGAATGGCCTAGTCAAAGTCCAGACCTAATCCCAATTGAGATGTTGTGGCAGGACTTGAAACGAGCAGTTCATGCTTGAAAACCCACACGTCACTGAGTTAAAGCAGTTCTACATGGAAGAGTGGGCCAAAATTCCTCCACAGTGACGTGAGAGACTGATCAACTACAGGAAGCATTTGGTTGGAGTCATTGCAGCTAAAGGTGGCACAACCAGTTATTGTGTAAGGGGGCAATTACTTTTTCACACAGGGGAATTGGGTGTTGCATAACTTTGTTTATGAAATAAATGAAATAAATATGTAATTGTTGTGTTATTTGTTCACTTATGTTCCCTTTATCTAATATTAGGTTTTGGTTTAAGATCTGATAACATTCAGTATCACAAATATGCAAAAGTAGAGAAAATTAGAAAGGGTGCAAATACTTTTTCATAGCACTGTACATACACGTGAGTTTGATTCCTTTAATTGACTGATATTCCTTAAAGGAAGAATGAGACCTAAAAGGGGGAAATCAAAGCTCCATCTGCATGTGCTGCACAATGGCGGTATCTGATGTCCCCATACTTGTTGAACAATCTCTCTCTACACACAACACACACACCAGTCTGTGGCAGAAAAACAGTCTGATATACACGCCAACACTGATGTACGTTATATTCCACCTGATACCTAGCCAACGGCCCTGGCCAAAGAGAGTTTGTGATCTCAGGAATCAGTGTGGTGGCATCTGAACGATCACACATAAATCAAGAAACACACAGACAGTCTTTTATATGTGGACTTCCTGGATACTTAAGCTGCTAGAGCCAAAGCGTCTGTGATTGGATAGATTCCTCGACATCCACTGAAACCTGAGCTCAGTCTTTACAGAGAACACAATCACCAGAGAGGTGAAATACAGGTTTGACTCAGTTCAACACACTAGGAGTGTTTCTCAAAATGCATACTACCGTGCTCCGAGCATGCAAATTGGAGCAGGGAAGGGTCGGAGTATGAGTCCAAATCAAAGTATGCGAAAGGGCATGGAGGGCACTTCTCGAATGCGTACTCTGTTTGAAGCGTCTGCTAAATGGCATATTATTTGTACATATTTTGATGCATGCATCGATGTAAGCTTCAAGAGAAAGTATGCAAGGAAATATGACAAAACCACGTAAAAAATGATGCACATTTTCTTGAGCTGAAGCAAGAGAAACTACACTCCGACTTCGGAATGAAATGCTGCATATTCACATCTCATATGTTGCCAGACTACATTATTTTATCTTGATATGTTAATAAATACATGCTGTGTTAATTTTGGCATGTTTACCTGCCTACGTACCGTAGATTGCAAGCCCATAATAAGTCAATAGGTCTAACTGGCTAGCTACAAGTACTGTTAGCTAGCCAGATAGCCACAAAGAATTGTTAGCTAGCTACCCTCGAATAATTTATATCTTGTATAATATTAGTTTCAGGTCCATTTTTCCTGTTAAACTATCTGGTTAGCTACATTATTACGATTCACATATAGCTAGCTGATAGTTATAAAGTAAAACGGTTGCTTTGTGTATATCTTTATTAGTTTCTATTGCCATTGTTGTCCTGGCTGGAAGACGGTTCAGTGAATGGGCACTGTAAGTCCATAGGGCTAACTGGCTAGCTAGCTAGCCATGAAGAATTGGTAGCTACCCACGAGACATGTACATCTACCTTGCATAACATTAGTTTTTAGGTCATTTTTGCCTGTTTAACTAGCTGGCTAGCTAGATTATTACAATTCAAATATCTAGCTGATAATTATCAAGTAAAATGTTTTCTTTGTGTATATCTTGTTTCGTCTATTGTTGCCATTGTCCTGGCTGGAAGAAGGTTCAGTGAATGGGGAGGTGAAGCGTGAGGTAATACAGTAGGGGGAGTGCGAGTGCTTCTCAAATATATTGTTTTATGCATTCTCCACACTCTTGTCCTCACAAGAACGTACTCAGGAGAATGTGGTCGCAGAATGCACTCGGAGCATGAGAGTGTGGACCATGGTAGTATGCATATTGAGGAACAACCTATTATAGACACTAAGCCGGTAGTTCAGTGACTGGTCTTGAAACCTCCTTCAGTCCACTCATCCATGTTAAGATATAGTTTGGAATCTATGAACATTATGTTGACTGAGGACTGGGAGGAGCAGGAGTATCAATGTTGTTCAAGTGTTGCATGTGTTGGAAGGTCTACCTGTCTGTCAAAGCTTTCAATTACGGTAACTAAACTGTGCCGCTGGCACCAGCACATCAGGAATGGTTTAAGGGTCTTGTTTCTGGTGCTTTGCTGACCTATAAAACAGCACTCAGCCTGGAGGTGTCACTGTGATGTCATTGGTCAGTTATGAGAACAAGCAGTCAAAGGGAGAGAACCAAAGGATGCAGTTATCCAGACAGGCTGACATCACGTGTAGCAACAAGTGTCTCTTTGTAACCATCTCACTTCCATTCTATCTGCACCTCGATGTACAGTAAGTCACTCTGCCAAACACAATGATGTACTACTGCTCACAACGGGGACACCTTGTTCAATAGGCATTTCCAGAACACAACAATGTACTCATTGGGTGCTGCACATCTGACACACACACACACACACATTCTATCTTCTATCTCTCACACTCACTCACTCTCTCTCTCTCTCACACGCACACACAAACACACACTCACCACAGTGACAGCATCATTGAACAGGCACTCTCCAAACACCACGATGTAGAGCTGCTCGTTAACAGAGACATCCTCGAACACGCTGAGTACGGCCACTGGGTCCACAGCTGAGATGATGGTGGCAAACAGCAAGTTCTCCTGAAGGTTAATGTCCTGCACCTCAAACGCCTCGATCTGACACACCGCATACAGAGACATCCCTATCCCAATGCTGTTCCACAGGGTGCCCACCACCGCAAACCAAAGCACCTGTAGGCAGAAGATGGTATGGGAACTTCCATTGTTCATTGGGGCATAATGTGAAACATTATATGGCAAATGGTTCACCTACCAGAATGGAATAAAGCAAGTATATTCCTGTAATGGTTGAAATGTAGGCTAATTCTTCGGGTCAGTTATCCCAGAAACAGATTAAGCCTATTCCAGGACTAAAAAGCACTAGAGCCCTTTTAACCTTTAGAGCACTTTTTAGTCCTGGACTATAGGCTTGATCAGTGTCAGGGAAACGGGCCCCTTGAGTCCCTCCAGAGACCATAATTAGTATTGATATTAGCACATAAAACCATCATACCGTGCCCACGTTCTCGAAGAATGGCCGTGTGGGCATGAAGTATCCAGACTCCAGTACGATGGGAGGCAGCATATAGAGGAAAAAGACGTTGGATCTGAGCACAGCAGGGGGCTCCTCGTGGACAGAGTGCATGATGGCCCCTACGATCAGACCAATACTGATCAGGAGACATGACTCTGGGACCCAGAAGGTAACCTTGTGGTATACATGGAAACCTGGGAGAGAGAGAGGTTGAAGGTCTGATACTGTACATGGCAGCTACACTATACGTACAAAAGTATGTGGACACCCTTTCAAATTAGTGGATTCTATTTCAGCCACACCCGTTGCTGACTGGTGTATAAAATTGAGCACACAGACATGCAATCTCCATAGATAAACATTGGCAGTAGAATGGCCTTACTGAAGAGCTCAGTGACTTTCAACGTGGCACCATCATAGGATGCCACCTTTCCAACAAGTCAGTTCGTAGGTTAGGATGGACACATTAACCCTAGATCTGTGTCAAAGGGCAACTTCTACAACTGCCAATATATTTTTCATTCCCATCAGTAGCGGTGTCAGGTTTTATCTAACTAGCTAACGCTGGGTAGTTCTGGCTGTGTGAAAAACTGATATAGAATGCTTTGAAACCAAGAATACTTCCCTGCTAGTACAGAATTACTTGCCCAATCACTGCCTAGGGGAAGATCTCAATTTCATACTCCTCGCGTCCTCTCTCTTCTCTCATCGCCTTCTCAAAACACATTGGATGAGAAGTTCAGAGGGGAGGGACCTCTGGCTTTCTCATCCAATGGGTTCTGAGAAGGAGACGAGGAGAGAGGACGCTTAGAGTCTGAAATTTAGATCTTCCCTTAGTCTTCATCATAGAGTCAGCAAGTTAGCATTGGATGTGCCACCAGTCAAGATAGAGAGAAAAAAGAGAACATAAGAGTTTTTTTCAAAGGAGTGCAAAGATTAAGTAAGAAGTAAATGTAAGGTTCTTGGCAACTGCCCACACACCACCCCTGGCAAAGGCTAACGCATACAAACCTAACACACACAAAATGCATCATACCGGTTTCATTTCTGTATTTTGAAAGTTATACATCTTGAAAACTTGATTGCTGACATGCAAAACATTTTGGGACTATATCAACAACGGACTAATGAAGAAAATACCAAAAGTTTTTGAGTGAAACTTTCCTTTGAGTCTAGAGGGTCTATTGCATGTGTTAACTTCATGCAGGAGAGAGGCAGATATGATGATATATTTTTGTATTATTGTGTAGTGGAGGTTGATTAATTTCAGTTTGACCTTTCATGCCTACCTTTTTTGTTGTTGTATTAAAATAGTTTTTAACTGTGTATGTTGCTGGCTATTATTACAGTATAATAACTGTATTATAAATTGAAAATATTATGTTAAGTCTCAACCCATACAGTATGTAGAGCAGCAGTAATAACAACCTGAGAGGGAAACTGAATGCTAGGAAATTAACCATACAGTAGCAGAGAAAGAGTATAAAATGGATGTTTAATCCAATATAACCACATTAACAGTCACACTGGTATTCAGTACAGTATGAAAGGCCATGGCCCCAAGACTGATTGGACTGTACCAGTGTAAGTGCCCCTCTGCAATGTAATATTTGTCTGTATCCTTTTCTCAAAATACACTAGAAATTAGCCGACCCCCATAGCAAAATATGTCCCCCCTAATGTCTGAGTCAATCCTACGCCCTTGCCCATCAGAAATGTTACACCTTACCACGAAACTGAGGTGACTTGAAGATTGAAAGGGCAAATACCTTATCTTATTATTTCTCACAGAGTTGTTTGTCCATGGTCGTTTACTTTGCTTACCAATCTTGGCGAATGACGCGAGCAGCACCCAAAGCGTGACCTCAAACGGCACCTGTATACGGAGATAATTCATTGTGAAGACCGGGAGATTCGATTTCTCCGCGTCTGGAAACGCTTGTGGACCCTCCGCGTGCTTGACAGGGGGCAGGGCGGTCACGGTACCAGGGGGTTTGGATTGAATCTCCGTGTATGATCCACATGGTAGACTCAGGAGAACCAATCCGATGGTTAAAAAGTACACTGACAGTTTCATCTGGCCAAGTCCTCCCATAGTGCTCATACAACCAAAATATTTAAAACCTACTTGACTGAGAATTGATAAGCAGCTTTGAGCTATAAGAGGTCTACAGAAGTCGGGTGGCTGAGCCCCTCACGCATGCACTCACTCCATCCAAGGCTATCGAGTCAAAAACCCAGAGGACGGCGGTGGCACTTCATGAACTCCAAACTTCACCAAATGCCATTATTTATTATAAAATCAAGAGTACAATCCTCAATAAAACAATGATAAAATATACTATATTTCCATGCTTAAAATCTTCACTGTAGGATAGAACACATTCCAGTTTGCCAAACAAAGTGTTTCTCCCAAACGTACTGTTTTTGGTGATGACAGTCCTTAACCGATACCCAACTGCTACCTGCACCTGTGGCGCGTGAACGCCCAATCCGATAGGGGCGCGGCCTGGAACAGTTCTGATTGGAGCAGCACACAAGTAAATCACAAAGTACCGCCTGATTGTATTTCGGTCACTGAGGTTTCGGTAGGGCTATGGGCAATTCAATGGACACTTTCCTTTTCTCATAGTTTAGGGGCCTGGGTTTCAAGTTTCAACTGTAGTGCTGCTAAACAAATGATGGAACAATAGAAACCACACGAAAAAGGCTCAAAGAGGACCTCAAAGAGGACCTCACAATCTCAGCTGTAGCCTAGAGTGGAAGGATTTACCTGGGTATGTCTTTACAGGCTAGGCTGATATTCATATTGGCCATATTATGTTCTTATTAGCCTACAAATCATTGGCTTGAAATTGGTATAAAACCTGTGCAAACTGTATTTATGATTATATGACAATATTTTAGGTTGACAATAATTATATTACACAACATCTGATATATCACATGCCTTTGTTTTATTTGCCTGCTTACTTACAATCAGGATTATGCCTCATTATAATTAGACATTAATTCCAATTAGACTGGTTTGGATTTCTCCATGACCAATATGGGTGCATATGATATGAACACGTCATAAGCCATGTCAAAAATGTTTAGAATTGCAGGAGATTAGCTATAAAACTGCCGCACATGTTCCTCTCTGCCCCATGGCAATATGTGTAGAATTGCAAGAAATTAGCTATAAGCAGTGGTGGAAAAAGTACCCAATTGTGATACTTCAATAAAAGTATAAATACCTTAATAGAAAGTTACTCAAGTAAAAGTGAAAGTCCGACAGTAAAATATTACTTGAGTAAAAGTCTAAAACTATTCGGTTTTAAATATACTTCAGTATCAAAAGTAAATGTAATTTCTAAAATATGCTTAAGTATCGAAAACAAAAGTAAAAGTATAAATCATGGAAGATTCCTCATATTAAGCAAAGCAGATGGCACCATTTTCTTGTTTATAAAGTTTACGGATAGCCAGGGACACACTCCAACACTCAGACATTATTTACAAAATATGTATTTGTGTTTAGTGAGTCCGCCAAACCATAGGCAGTAGGGATGACCACGTGTTCTCTTGATAGGTGCTTGAATTTGATCATTTTACTGTCCTGCTAAGCATTCGAAATGTAACGAGTTGTCAGGGAAAATGTATGGAGTAAAAAGTACAATATTTTCTTTAGGAATGTAGTGAAGTAAAAGTTGCACAAAATATAAATAGTAAGGTAAAGTACAGACACCGCAAAAAACTACTTAAGTAGTACATTAAAGTATTTTTACTTAAGTACTTTACACCACTGGCTATAAGACTGCAAATGTTTTTCTTTGCCCCATGGCAACATGTGTAGGCTTTCTCAGCTCTTGCAGGGGCCCCGCGAAACTGCGGTATGCCACTGCTACAAATGGGGGACAGTGGGTAAAAATGTAAATCAGTGCATATTTGTAGGAATGCGCATAGCCTATGATAGAATAATAATAGCCTAAATGAATATTGCAGCGCGAAAATACACCACAAGATGGTAGTAGAATTGCAGATGTCATCTAGTGGTCCCTTGAAGCTCAGTTGGTAGAGCATGGCGCTTGCAACGCCAGGGTTGTGGGTTCGTTTCCCACGGGGGGGGGGGGGGGGGGGGGTATGAAATGTATGCACTCACTAACTGTAAGTCGCTCTGGATAAGAGCGTCTGCTAAATGATTAAAATGTAAAATGATCTAGTGGACAGAAGCCCAGAAGGAGAAAATATCCCCCTCCCCAGAAGTGGAACACGACTTTAAAGCCACAACTTGACTTTGTTTTGGTATTATTGTAATTATATATATTTTAAAATATTTTAATCTAATTTAGGCTTGAAGTAAATGTGGAATCATAATTGCAAATCAGTATGGTTTCCATCCAACCATTTCATGCAGATTAATTACCTAATGCGTGAAAAAAGTCACAACTGGGCTGGTTGATGGAAACAGGAAATGCCGGTTCAATTGTATAAATGCCAACAGACAATTTGTTCGTTCGACATGGTGGGATCTTTTTATGTAGGTAAAATTAATTATGCGAGAAATGGCGGTGGAAACGCCTTTAAGCGCAAATATAAATATAATAAGCATCATATCGTAGTTAATTTGGAGTCACTCGATGATATGGTGTGTGGTCCTCCCACTATGATTTGGGAACGTATGCTGTTTATTAGGCTAGAGATTAAATAAATGATGATGAACTTCACAGGTGGTGAACGTGCAAGGTGATGCTCCTTTCCAATAAATATCGAGGGTCTTATTCTGGTGACATGATGATCGATGCTTGGTTGCCGTTTGACAAATAAAAATAATATCGTTCTTATCCATAATAATCTCATAATGTTGGTAGCCTAACCACTGTATCTGTGAGCTGTTGGCTAGAGTGCACATGCCAAGACCAGAGTGGGCACATTTGCTATATACCGCAACAGTTTTTGTGACAAAACATTAGAGTTCAAAATGCGATGGAAACTATTTTAAATTGTATTTTTCATTCAGTACGTCGGAATTTAACCGCAAAGGTTATTTTTATGCGCACTACATCATCACGCACAGCCTTTTATCGGCAGAAGTCAGTTTGATGGAAACACATCTCTGGTGGGAAAATGTGCATATTGTTTTATGTAGATTTTAGAATATTCGCATGAAAATCTGTGGCAAATTGGTTGGAAACCTAGTTTATGTCAGTAACAACATCACCATAATTTATGAAGCACAAAACTGACTGCAGACGGAGCGTTAAATCGAAATGTGTCACTTGGAGTGTAAACTAGGGCGAGTCGTATATAAACCCTGGATTGCGGATGCAATAAATTGACTATTGAAAGGCTTTGAAGCCACCGGTCGGCCATATTAGAACTTCCCAGTAGACACAGTCTTGCATAGGAATTAATAGAATTCAACAATATTTCAATTAAATGTTTCAAGGACAAAATTACATGTATTTAAGTATGTTTGTTGTTGTAGTGGGGACAGTAACATTAGTATTCTGAAAAAATCATACTTTAAGGAAAATGTGTTTAAATATATATATATATATATATATATATATATATATATATATATATATATATATATATATGTATATATATATATATATAAAATTATTTTTTATTTTTATGTTTAGCTTACATAATATAATTTAAAAGTATGCATTAAGGTGTCTTGGATATAATACATGTGGCAAAACAAATGTAGACATAAATAAATGCATTTTTATAGCTTCCAAAATATTTATTACAAGGTTAGGCAGTGCCAAGATGGAGGCACGGTGGCATCAACACAGTGCCCCTTAAATCATTCTAGTGTATATATAAATCATTGGTCTTGTACCACTGCAGACTCCGTCGTTTCAAGGAGGTACGGAGATGAGCATCACTAGGCTATCAAATAAGCAGCACACATAAACCTACGGTTTCAGTAGGGAGCCGTTACCCGTCTCCTAAAGTAAGTATATTTAAATGCATATGTTTTTATCTCTGAAATATAATATCTGTTTAGCAGAAAAGGATGGGGTTGCATAGGCGTATATTGACAGCCCACAATAAACACGTCTGCGGTTGAGTTGAATCGCTATTCTGTGATGCCAAATACAGAATTTCTATTTGCATGACATGACAATCCCGTTGTAGCCGATTTTTTGCTTGTGTTGTGGTCGCTGTCTTTATAATGGGTACGGGAATGTGTAGGCATAACGGGACTGCTCATCAAAACTGGTGCTGCCAACAACTGGTTCCCATTGAATGATAGCAGGATAGCAGATTTCATCATGACGCAATCCGTGTTATTGTCGGAGCATCATAGGCAATAACACGCTCATTGAGACTAATATAATAATAGTAATTGGATGATTGATTCACATATTTTTCCAATGATGTATTTTCTTTATGTCTGCATCCTATAGCCTATAGTCCTAGACTGAAACGGCAGGCGGTTTGTTGACGCCTCGATCAGTTTTACAAAGAACAACATCACTCAGGCCTACAGCAAGGGCAGTGTGTTTATATTTATCTGTGGGCTATGTCACTGCATGAACGACACTATGCTTCTAGAGAGCCGTAGCTGTGATCTGCATGATCTTTCAGCTGTTTATTGTGTGTGTGTGCATGTGTTCGTGTGATGAGTGTAGACTGATTACAGTTTTTGCCTATTGCTTACACACTTTTTGCAGAATTTGGCTCATTATGTCAAAACTCAACACACAAGCCAAACAGACATATCACTTGGAGATTAACAACTCACATATATGCCAAAATGAAACACTGTAATCAAAACTTTACACTCCTTTCTAAAAATGAAATTCTTTCAACAAAACCATACACACAAGCAACATTTGAATTACTCTTTCATATCACCAGCAACACAGTGATGGGCTTTATATAAAACACTGCAGTCTTTGTGTTTCTATTTTTATTGTAATTTTATTGTCATTGTCTTCTGTAAAACTCAAAAGTAGAATTTCTGCAGTAATCAAACAGTATTTACAAAAAAGTTTTTACAAAAAAACAAACATTCTTACAGAAATTCTTAACATCAAATTTAGCAACAAAACAAAAGTAAAAAAACAAAACAATTACTGGATAAATTGCTAT